AAGAAGATCAAATTAACCTTTTTGATGTCATTATCTATAAAGATTATATGAAACGTGAAACTGCGGGCAAAATTTTTGATAAATTTACAGACACTTTTCAATATGTACGAAAAATGTCTGCACATTCGTGACATATGCACTAGTGACATATGCCCTAGATACGGATGCACTAGTCTAGAATTTAAATGAATGTTGTTTTTTACGTATGTGTTCCCCCTAGTTACTTGGATTTTCCCCATCTTGCCCTTGTTTACAGAATGTCAGCAGTCAGATTTTTCCCCCTTTTATTGTATTTGTTTACGTCGTGTGTATGGCGCGATTTTGTGGAATGATTTCACCTTCGCATTTATGTACAAAGAATTAGCGCTTGAGGATCTTTGCGTCTCCTATTGGAAAAAATACTGGCGTGTGTTAGAACTCACAACTGATGGTGCCCTCCTATACGAACCTTATGCGTTAAATGTGTATAGAGAACAGTGGTTGCTAAAAACATTTGTTATTAAAAAGCTCTCTCGTTCAAAACGTTTCGCCCCGCATCTTTCTGTTATTCAAAAATGTGCTATGTGGAGTCTAAAAAATAACTGTGCTAACTCTATTCTCCAGCTACCTGAAACAGAGTTTGACAATTTTTGTGTCTTTCCTGATTTGTTTTTATGAACTGTTCTCTCTCTCTCACCCCAGTCCACTCCCAGTAATTGTCCAACTTCTTAACTTTTTAACTTTTTATTTCTAACTTCTATTTCCTTTTTTTTTTGTTCCTGATTGTCTTTATAGGCAAAAAAAAAAAGCATAACACACACACACACACAGAAAAGACACCTACATAAAAACGTAACCAATCATTGTGCGACTCTTGCATTGATTTCTCGTATACAAACTTCTACTTTTACTAGAAAAGACAAAATGTCTGTTCGATAATAACACTGTCATTCGCTTGAGAAAATCATAGATTTTTGAATTGTTACTATCATTGATACTTTCATTATGTCATCATTATCTGATGCATAATTGATAGAGATCAAACTTTCATCAGCTGCAGTAAACAACTAGAACAACGATTATTTTAAGAATAAAAGCAGCTAAGAGGAATTTAACTTGAATCTTCATTTATTACATCTTGACTTGAAGTATCTTTTATGATTTCTTTCTCTTTTTGCTTTCCAGCTATAGTTCTAACGTTCTTATTATTAATTTCTATTCGGTGCTTTTCCAATGTTGCACCATCTTGGTTCTCCTTCGCCTGTTGTTGAGGCATTCGCAAGGTCGTTTGTGTCTGTATATTTGTTGTCTGTTTGTGACAGATTAATTTTACAACAGCAAATAATTCATGTCTAAAGTTTGTCGCCGTAAAACAGTAGAGAAAAAAATTGACGGCATGACTCGTAAATTGAATACTAACAAGAATAATTTGTAACATATATCGATAAAGACGTGGTTCACCAGACATATGATGACGAAAAAAAACGAAATAGACACATGTGGGTAATGTTAAAAGTATAAATGCAAACGTAACGGAAATTAGCATGACTGTTATTTGACGAAGTTGATTCTGAGATCGACGAGATTTTGTTTTTATACGAGATGAATTTATAGTGACATAGATAATGTACGTATTACAAGCACTCATGATGATGAATGGAAATAGATTGTAAACAATAAGATGTACACGTTCCCAATTAGGAAAAATATATGTCGAATCTGTTGGTGTTTTATAACAGATAACACAATCTTGTGTGCATGATGGATTATTAACACGATAACCATTTTTGAATAATATGTGGCAATTAAGCAAGAGACAAAGAATTGTTAAAGCAAGTATGTTATATACGGTACGGGATAATTTACCAAATGAGTGTTTCCAAGCCATTGAATATAAACTTAAACAGCGGTCTAAAATGCGACATAAATTAATGAAGTTAAATGTATATGAGAAATTTGACACTAAACTTTGTTTTTTAATGATAAGCATTCCAACCTCTTTCAAATATCGCACTATAAAAAAATACATTTTACTTCATTCATCTTGCTTTTTCAATGGTTCTATTTTTTTTTACATAAAAAATTATCGATTATTGAATGATTTTTTTCTTTATAAATAGACCATCAATTTTGATGCTCTAAACCTTAAACCTAAACATAACTTGCCCAAGTGTCTCACGTAACCTGTCACGAACACAGCACGTTTAAAGTACATGGCGAATCACATAACTATCAAAGCATATAACCTTTTCTCGAATAACCGACCGGATTTATCGAAAGCTGTTTACTTGAAATAAAAAACAACGTTTTATAGACAGAATTAATGAAAAAACAGAATTCTGTGACTCGCTGAAACTTTACATACTTGTTTAAAAATAAATATGAATTTGTACACACCTTGACACTGACTACAAAAATTTCAATAGTAGAATCGGAGCATTTTAATGTCGTAAAAAGTGAGAGAAGCTGCTTGGAAACACTGGAATGTAATAAGGTACATTCATACTATTTTCATAAATGCAGGTCATTGCTCATGAACAATTACACATTACCAACTAGCATACAAACAAAATAATTGTTTATCTTATTATCAAGAAAATTCTCCACAATTAATTATCAAATATCAATTGTGGACAATTGTACACATTGAAACTTCAGATTCATCCTTCACTCATGTTCAGATTCATTCCTGTATAATTTCGTAGATAACTGCATACTTCATATTCCCTAGATATGTAAATATCATAAAAAATCATTTCCAAATCTTTTTCTGACACGAAAACTAGAGAAATATGCATCTAGTAATGTAAGATATTGGTAGGATTTTTGGAATTTTTAAAAGTCCTGTCAATAGCTTATGTTACTAGATTCGTATTCCATAAGCAGCATTTTGATCGGGCAAAATATAAATTATGATGATGGGTCGGTTTGACTCGAAAGATCTACGGTATATTTAAATAAATAAATAAAATAATATCTGTATATCATATTAGTGGATAATCAAGCTGCAGAAAACAAACTACGTTCGTTTAGAGAGATATACATCTAACCGAAATCATCTAACCGCTTTCAGACGCTTAAGCATTGCACGGAAACCATTCAGAGAACAATCTTGCATATGAGAGTTGTTCAATTATACCCGAGATGAGCGAGTCATCGCTTTTTGGAGTCTGAAGCGAGTTTGAGTCAAGAGTAGAGATCTGCACGGGCACGGGAATTCTCGTTTCCGCTGGCATGCCCGTGGGCAGTACGAGCATGGACGGACACAGGCAGGCTCGAAAAAGACACGGACGGGCATGGAGGGACAACCGCTTTACGGACAGACATGGACAAGCACTCTCGATAGGACCACGGGCATGGATGAACACGGGCAAAAAAATCTTACCCGTGCAGATCTCTGGTCAGGCGGCTTCGAGTCCAGGTCCGAGTCGCATCAAAAATTGACTCAAGGGGACTCGAGCCATTTTCTAGAGGTAAACTTTCTCCTTATTTATTTTTTCAAGAACAGCTTGCATCGCTATTTTCTGTCTCTTGTTTGCCTTGACCTTTTCTAGATCTTCAATCTTTTCATGTGACGCGATTTTCTACTTAGAATATTCCTGACTCTGTCTCTCTCTTCTAGTATGTAGTACACATAATAAACACCGTCATAATATTCTAAAAAAAAAGTGACTTGGGTCACTTTATCAAGTTTATCGAGTCTTTCGCCTCGAATCCGAGTCCAAGTCACAACAAAATGCGACTCCCAACTCGTCTATCTCTGAATTATATTATGTAGCCTCCCTATTTGTTCAAGTAATAGCACCCTCATAACATACAATAGTTGAGAGAAAATCGAAGAAAACATGAGTTATCTACTTTAACATCAGTTATACTTAATCTCGTTGGTGTCACCGCCTCATCTGATACAATTTATATAGAAAAGTTGATTAGTCGATTACCTAGAGAAAAAGAATTATTAAATAAGTATCACTTTTCTAGCAAACGGAAAATGGAAACAAAAAATTCCAGGAGATTCTTTACACAAATGAAACTTAGTCAGACTAATGAAACATTTCCCATAGATACTTTGAAGCAGAAATTTTACCTAGGCTAACTGCCGTTAAACACCACGACGATAATTGTAAACCGACAAATGACATAAACGATACGGCTCGACAATGAAATATTGATATTTCTTCTAAATTGTCTTGCCTGGGATTAATTGTGAATTTGTAAAAATTATTTAAATTCCATCCATATAATGATACAGTATCGGCTACACTAACAGCAATTAAATATCTCATTGTCACATGACGTCTTAAATTTTGCCGTAATAGAACAAGAATTGAGAGACAATTACCCAATGTACCGATAATAACTAAAATGAGAGCATAGATAGATAACGATTTAATAACAAACTCATAACGATGATGTAGATAGCTTGGTAATGGCCATGTGAAATTTGGTAGCCTTTCTGCACGGGGAATGATTTCGAAATAATCCATATTCTGAAAGATGAAACAGAAATGAACAAAAAGTGGTAGAGATCTACTATTTTTAGAAACGGTTTAGGCTTATTCGTTCCTAATTGATTTCTCAACTCGTTCCTTTCTCAATTCGTTCCATTAAAATTTTTTTTCTTAATACATCCCTTCTCGATTCGTTTTACACACAGCATTTTTTTCACGTAACACAACGTCTATTGCAACAATATTTAGCGGCATCAATGCTAAGCCAATTGCTTCAAGAAACCAATGGTCTGCTTGCTTTCGTTCATCGTCAGAAACATTGTTACTATTATTTTCAGTTTTCCTTAAAAAAAACGACTCATACCAATCTGTTAAATTTCTGTGCATCAGGACTGTGCATAATGGAAGAAACAGCCACTAATTTTGATATTTGAAAATGCATTATTAAATGAATTAATTGTTGCTTCTTTGAAATGCTGTGGATTCATGATGACATTATGTTTTGCTCTAAGCTCAATTAAATATAAACTATTGCATTGTCGGTCACAACATTGCCATGCATTACAAGTTTTGTTTTCACGTTTTTTGCATATTGGTACCGATTATGGCTCAAAATTTACTTACCGCGTTCTGTAGTTGTGAAATGTAACATTTTTATAAGGTAGATATGTTTTTGTAAGCTTATCTTACATGATTTTCCTAACTTTATATAGATAGCTGGGCATCTATTTCCAATCATGCTCGGTTATGAAAATTAGGCTAGGACACGCAATAGACGCTGTGTTACCCAAGCAAAAATGACGCAATTTTTTGGGTTATTTATCTAGATTCAGCTTCGCGTGCATCTAAATGTACGTGGAGCTGAACCTGGATAAATAACCCAAAAGACTGGGTCGTTTCTGCTTTGGATATATGAAGAAAATGCTGTATATAAAATGATTAGAGAGGACACCTTTAGAAACAATCGATGCCTGCTGTTAAAACAATATCTCTTGCTGAATATTTCATTTGTGTAAATGATAGACAACGACAGATAAAAATATTGTTTGATTGACAACTGGTGACGATAGACATTCTTCTACAGAAAGCTATTTTACAAGTGTTGTTTTTTCTTGCTTCGACGATAATCTATTTCAATTGTATGATCAAGCATGACGATTGCATTATATCCATTAAATTAAACTCAGAATATACAAATATGCAATGCTTTGATCGATGTCTAATCTCGAATCTAAGACATATTGTTTACTTTACTAATGGAATAATTATTTATCAATGTACATCTCCAAGGTCAAACAATACCAGTCGACAAGGTAAAGCAACAATATGGAAGATATAACCTATAATTTCGAGCTTAAATCTCTTGAATATAAATTTCTTGTCTTTTATACTTTACTTAATTATTAGTGATTTATTTTTATAAACAAAAGAAACTGTCGTATTACGAGTATAATCATCAAACCAAACAATTAAAAAAGAGCCAAATTCTAATTAAAAAATCTACTCGCTATATTCGCTTCGGCTTACCCCCAAAAGAGATAATTGTTCTTAATAGTTCTTTGTGACTCACTCTCATGTACGCCGCCACCACCGCAGCTGCTTCCGATGTTATTATCTCTTTCGGGGTAAGCTTTCGCGGCTTCAGTTTTCTCTCAAATAATAAAATATTTATTACTCAAGAATGAAGTATAGGAAAAAGTTATCTGTAATATTCTAACACTTCTACTTGAAATGGAAAAGCGAGAAAAATCCAGAAAACAAAAATTTTCTCCTTTCTATCCAGATTTCTTCAGTAAATCAAAGGCGTTCATATCGACGTAATATATATCATTGGAAAACACTCTTCACTTCTGATTGAATGGAACACATGCCCGTACGTGAAGTCACATATACCGATAAGTACAGAGGACGGCTGAAAAACCCGTAAGGATCAAAGTAAAAAATTTTTTTCGTGAGAAAAAATTTTCTTCCTCATTCAAGTACTTAATAACAGGAATGAGGTTATACTCGGGTTCAGCGTCTAAAACTGAGCCGACTGACATAGTTCTTACAAGTTTCACGAAAAATTTGTTTCAGAAAAAAATGAGGGCACAGGTACCCTCCAGGGCTCGAAACAGGCCAGGCTACAAATTATCGGCCTGCACCAGGCTAAGGCAGACCAGGCCTAGACTGAAATAGATTCAGGCAGACCTCTGAAAACCCCAGGCGGCCTAACCTAGGAAATTTGCGTATTTTTATTCATAATGTAGCATTTCGGCTGTAGATGTCGTTATGATATGGGAGTTTCACAGTGTGAAACTATGTACTAGACTGAAACAGATCACTAAATCCTGACACGGTTGAGGATATCTTATTAGTTAGATCAGTTCAGGAAATACTTGAACAAAAACCAAATTTTTTTAGTTAGATATATTGTTTAGTTATCTGTCACTTTTCTTTCCATCTTATGTTACTATTATTTGTACATTTTGTTTATTAAAAAAATTACCAGGCATCTACAGACTAGGCCAGGGTAGGCCGAAAGCAATGGCAGGCAGGCAGGCAAGGCCCAGGAAATATTTCGACAGGCCCAGGCAGATCTAAACATTACCGACCTGACGCAGACAGACCAGGCCTCAAAATTGTCGGCTTGTTTCGAACCCTGGTACCTTCCTTAGGCACAAGTCCATCGAAAAAATAAAATTGGCACGAAGTAACCAGTAACCTGATGATAAAATCTAACCTCAATTGGGACTGTATAATGACTATTAATAAAGTGTCATGTATAGTAAAAAATGCTTCTATAAGAAGTTTTGTTTCTTTTGAAGAACTTGTGCCTAACGGTAACTTTGCCCTCATTCTGCTGAAACAAATGTTTCGAGAAACTTGTAAAAGATATGTCAGTTGAGTAAGTTTTAGACGCTGAATCGGAATATGACCTCATTTCTGTTATTAAATGCTTGATAAGGCGAAAAACTGAAATTTAGATAAAAATTTTCACTGAGGTTTTCCAAAAATTTTCTAGACATCTACTACAAATCTTTTTCAAACTTCACAAACAAGCTGGTTTTGTTTAGTTTTCCCAGCTCTATCCAATAATGTGTCTCAAACTACTCAGGGATCTTCCTGAGCCAGGGTATTTTGAATTTTATAAAGTTGAAATTCTAAAATTTGATTTAAAATTGGAACTTTGGTGGAGAAGGTCGGGTGTTTTTTAGAATGTAGCCCGCACAGTTTTGAATCGAATCGTCTATTTGAAATTTATTTTAAGACAAAGGGTTTCTCTACAATAGCTATTTCATCAAGTATCCTGTTTCAAAAACCACTGTTTTCAGAAAACTCTACCTGCGCTTATTTTACATTTTTTTTGAATCAGCCAAAAGAAACTGCACTCTTTAAAACCCTTATGAAGCAAAAAGATTTACTCTTAGTGCAGCCGTTATGCAGATAGGTTTCGCATGCAACACGCCTACTGTCACCTTTTGCAATGTTTTGAACGTCGACCTTTTCTAATTAAGATCTTGGTTATAAAAAGCTTTTCCAGGGTAATATTTAAACAACACAATAGATCTAATGTTTTAAACTTCTAGTTTATCAATTCAACACATGTCGTTTATAGTCTTTCTTGTGACGATAAGAATAATTACATACTTTTCTCTAATTATTGCGAATATAGATAACTTTATTATAGCAAACTCTAATAGCTTATCGAAACAACATCAATGCCTGCTGTTAAAACAATATCTCTTGCCTAATATTTGTGTAAATGATAGACAAGGACAGACAAGAATAATGTTTGATTGACAACTGGTGACGATAGACACTCTTCTACAGAAAGCTATTTTACAAGTGTTGTTTTTTCTCGCTTCGACGATAATCTATTTCAATTGTATGATCAAGCATGACGATTGCATTATATCCATTAAATTAAACTAAGAATATACAAATATGCAATGCCTTGATCGGTGTCTAATCGAATCTAACACATATTGTTTACTTTACTAATGGAATAATTATTTATCAATGTACATCTCCAATATCAAATAATACCAGTTCGAAGTAAAGCAACAATATGGAAGATATAACCTATAATTTCGAGCATAAATCTAGGGCTGCAAAAGTTCAGCGTTCCTTTTTAGCATTCTCTTTGAAGGTGAACGCTAAAGGACGTTGACGTTCTTTGAACGTGAACGCGAATGTTCTGATGAACGTCAACATTATTTTATATGAACGGTGTTGATCTTGTGTGGAATAAATATATTTGCAAAACGTTATACAGCAATTTCATCTAGTAGTATAGAAAAACTAGCCTTCTGGTCAGGAATATAAATTTCTTGTCTTTTATACTGTACTTAGTTATCAGTGATTTATTTTTATAGAAAAAAAGACTATCGTATTACGAACGTACTCATGAAACCAAACATTTTTCAGTGCATCAAGGACCGATTTCGATTTCGAAAGAGGTTTTACATGATATCATCAAGTAATCGAATTGATCAGATGACTCTGTTGCCGGTTTAGTCTCAGTTCGTCCCAAATTAGTCTCTCTCAATTCGTCCCATAAATGTTTTTTCTCAATTCGTCCGAACCAATTTTTCACATAATTTTTATTCTCAGTTCGTTCCAACTAAATTTGTATATATATTTAACTCTCAGTTCGTTCCAGATATTTTAAAGCATAATTTTCAAAACATTATCAGCTTCTTTTTCACATCAAGGCCTAATTAATTTATTATGATGGAAATTAAAAGCACACAGTATCTTCATATGACTGGTAGCCTGACTATACTACAATACAGAGAAAGATGCTCAGAAAAAGATGCTCACTAAAATGTTAGGAGATTAAGTGATTGAAACTACTATATACCAAAATGTTACGTTTCACAGTAACTGAAAAAAGGTAATCCAGTATTCAACTACAATTGTTATCAGTATACGAAAGAACGAGAAAATATAAATAGTAATCAATGGAGATGTCGTGATCACGTAATTGTTCAAGTACAATATCATTATGCTCACAGGGTTTATCAATAATCAAAAATGAAACAACTCATACATGTGCACAAGATACTAACAATTTTATTAGTATTTATTGGTATTCTGACTATGTTCAATTAGCTATTAAATGTGGTAGAGCTGTGAAAACAATCCGACTAAAAAAATAATTTTTTTGGTTACTTATTTGTTGTGAATGCATAAGACTATTATTAAATTGTGTGAAAAATTAGTTGGGACGAATTGTCTTTCTCCGTATTGTAGTATATTCAGGCTACCATTCAGGAAGACACTGTGTACTTTTAATTTTCAACATAATACTTTGGATATTATCTGTCTTCTAAACTTGGGTAGGATAAGATGTTAGATAGCTATAAAGTTAAAATTCGTCAAAGAAGAGTAATCGTAAAATCTTGTAAAATATTTGGTACATTCCGCAATACAAGTACAAGTTCGCAATTTCGAAGTATTCTTTTTTTACCTGTGGCCTCCGCCTTTTTCAAGGGGGAAAGCACAGAATCCTGAAATCCAGAAATTCTATGAAATCTAGTAAAATCCGATGGAATCCGGGATTCTACACTTCTCCCGAAACAGAACAAAAGTGTTCTATATTTTGGGAAACTTTCCCCCCAAAGCAGAACATTTTGTTCTGTTTTGGGGGAATCCAACGGAATCTTA